ATTGGCATACAGTAAGTCCAGTGTTTTATTGACTCTGGTTGGTTCTTCCTGTTAAAATCGCCAAAGTGCTTGTTCATAGGGGGTCATATGATTGTTGGGCTTTTCTCTGTATCTACTGTACAATATAAAGCGCCTTGAGGCAACTTTTGTTGTGATTTGGCGCTATATAAATTGAATTGAATAGCTCTGTACATTTTATACATATCTATGCATAAAATGTGCCGGGCTCTGTATAAAATGTACAGTGAGTGAACAAACAAGCTCATGAGTAAGATAACCAAAAGAATGTTAAACTGTGTTATAGAGTCTGACAGCTGCTGGTAAGAATGACCTGCGGCAGCGCTCCTTCCTACACTGTGGGTGTAAAAATGAAAAATCTAGTCGTTACCACACAGATTAGGGTCCTCAGTCGTGAGGGATGCTCTCTGCAACATCTGGACATAGTCATTGGCCGTTTGATGCCCCTGCACCTCCTGAAGCTTCATTGTTCCACTGAAGGAAAAAGCACCCCAGATCATTATGGTGCCCCCTCCACTGTGGCACGTAGAAAACATCTCAGGTGGGATCTGCTTGCCATGCTAGTAACGTTGGAAGCCATCAGGACCATGAAGGTAAAAAATTTTTCTCATCAGAGAATAAAACTTTCTTCCACCCTTCATTGTTCCATATTTGGTGCTCTCTTACAAGGTCCAAATGGTCAGTTCTGTGGCATTCAAGGAGACGAGGCCTTTGAAGACTTTTTTGGTTTTTGAAGATGGTTATGGGGCTGCAGTCAGCCCCAGTAACGGCCTTAATTTGGGTCAAGGATGGTTCAGTGTCTTGACAGACAGCCAATTGGATCTTCCGGCTCAGTGCTGGTGAAATTGTTTTGCAGTTTTCCACTTAACTTTTTTGTTCCAAAATCCTCAGGATCATTTAAGAAATTCAAAATGACTGTCTTACTGCGTCGCACCTCAGCAGTGATGGTGCGCTGCAAGAGACCCTACAAATGCAGTTCAACAAGTCAACCACATTCAAAAAGTTTTTTTGCCTTTTGACATCAAAATGTCATGACAGTGTAACTACCTGACAGAAAATGACAATCAATCCACATTTTTGCACAGATTTGGCCTTTTAAAGGCATGTAGTCCTAGACTTTTGACCAGCTGTAAAACGGCCTGTTTCAGTTTAAGCGTTATTTTCAATAAGTTGCATGCTGAAAAAAATGTTTTGTCTCACTCCCATTTCTTCTTGTTGCATGTTGAAGCGCTACTTGATCTAACCTTGTTAGATCCAACCATGCAAAATATGGGGTTTTGAAGTGTTCTTACATTTTTAATCGGGACTGTATCAAATGATAAAACAACAAGCTGATTATTGAGCTCTGGCCTGAGGTAGTACCAGGTACACTTGTGAACCACATTGCCTTCAAACATGTTTTAATACCCATATGGAAAAGATATATATAAATCTTATAAAGTTTGTATCCGTCTTGTGTGAAACTTGTATGAAAAGCATACAAGAGTGAAAACAGATATAAGATCCCTTGAAAAATTATATAAATGAAAGTTGTATGTTGTGGATACTTACTAAAACAATATATGAAAGTAATGAGAAAGTGGC